GAATTTTGATATGGATTGTACTGAATCTATACATTGCTTTGGGCAGTATTGCCATCTTAATAATATTTTTTTTTCCAATCCATGAACACGTCTTTCCATTTATTTAGGTCTTTAATTTCTTCTGCAATTTTTTTGTTTTTTGTTTTTTTAGTTTTCGGTGAACAACTCATCTCCTTGGTTAAATTTATTCCTCAGTATTTTATTATTTGTGATGATATTTAAGTGGAATTATTTTCTTCATTTCCTTTTTGGAGAGTTCATTGTATGTATAGAGAAATACAAGTGACGTTTGTTGATCTTATGCCCTGCAGCTTTGCTGAATTTGTGTATTAGCTTTAATAGTTTTGTGTGTGTCTGTGTGTGTTTTCTTGGGGATTTTCTACATATAGGATTGTGTCATCTGCTAATAGAAAGTTTTACTGCTTTCTTTCCAATTTTCCTTTGGTTTCCTTTTCTCGTCTAGAACTTCCAGTACAATGTAGAATAGCCATGGTGAAAATAGGCATTCTTGTCTTGTTCCTGATCTTAGGGGAAAACTTTCAGTTTTTTAACCATTGAATATGATGTTAGCTGTGGGTTTTTCATAAATGCCCTTTATCATGTTGAGGAAGTTACCCCCTAGTCTGACTTCGCTGATTTTATTTTTAAGATTTTATTTATTTATTTGACACAGAAAGAGATAGCAAGAGCAGGAACACAAGCAGGGGGAGTGGGAAAGGGAGAAGCTGGCTTCCCATCGAGCAGGGAGCCTGATGTGGGATTTGATCCCAGGACCCTGGGATCATGACCTGAGCCAAAGGCAGACGCTTAATGACTGAGCCACCCAGGCACCCCCTTTGCTGATGTTTTTATCATGAAAGGATGTTGGATTTTGTTAAATTCTCTTTCTGCATCGGTTGAGATGATCATGTGAGGGTTTTTTTCCTTTAATCAATGTAGTGTATTATACTGATTGGTTTCTTATGTTGAACTGCCCTTGCATTCCTGGGATAAATCCCACTTGGCGGGAGCGTGTGTATAACCCTTTTGATATGCTGTTGGATTTTGTTTGCTGATATTGTGTTGAGGAGTCTAACATTTATATTCATAAGGGATAATGGTCTATAGTTTTCTTTTCTTGTGATGTCTTTGTTTGGCTTTGGTATAGTGCCAGGCACACAGAGTAAGTTAGAAAGTGTTTCCCTCCTCTTCATTTTTTGGAAGTTTAAGAAGGATTGGTATTAATTCTTTTTAAATGTTTAGTAGAATTCACCAGTGAAACTATCTGGTCCTGGACTTTTCTTTGTTGGGAGATTTTTGAGGATTGATTCAATTTCTTTACTTATTATTTTCTATTTCTTCTTCAGTTGGTTTGGTAACTTGTGTGTTTCTAGGAATTTGTCCATTTCATCTATTTTGTCTAATTTATTGGCACACAATTGCTCATAGTATTGTTTTATAATCCTTTTTGTTTCTGTAAGGTCAGTAGTAATGTCCTCATTTTCATTTCTGATTTTAGTAATTTGAGTCTTCTCTTTTTCCTAATCAGTCTAGCAAAAGGTTTGTCAATTTTGCTGATTGTTTCAAAGAATCAACTTTTAGTTTCACTGATTTTTCTCTATCATTTTTCTATTCTCTATTTCACTTATCTCAACTCTGATATTTATTGTTTCCTTGTTTCTGCTAGCTTTGGTTTAGTTTGGTCTTTTTAATCTAGTTCCTTAAGATGGAAGGTTTGGTTATTGATTTGAGATTTTCTGTCTTTTTAAATGCATATTTTATAGCTATAAATTTCCCTCTGAGCACTGGTTTTGCTGTATCCCGTAAATTTTGGTATGTTGTGTTTTCATTTTCATCCATCTAAAAGTATTTTCTAATTTCCCTTGTGATCTCATCTTTGAATCATGGGTTGCTCAAGAATGCTTTGTTTAATTTCTACATATTTGTGAATTTTCTAGTGTTTCTTCTGTAATTGAGTTCTAGCTTCATTTCACTATAGTTAGAAAAGATACTTTGTATGATTACAATCTTCTTAAATCTATTGAGACTTGTTTTCTGGCCTAACATTTAGTGTATCATGGAGAATTTTTCACACGCACTTGAGAAGAATGTATGTGTTCTGCTTTGTTGAGTGAGTGTTCTGTATATGTCTGTTAAGTCTAGTTGGTTTATAGCATCCAAGAGTTGTAAGCAGTGCAGTTATATGATTAAATTCCCATTTTTTAATATGTCATTCTGCCTGTGGTTTGGAGAACTGACTGGAAACAGGAAGACGGTGAGGAGGTTGTTGCAGACATCCAGGTAAGGGGATGGTGCCTGGACTCGGGGGGTGGCAGAAAAGCTGGAGAGTAGCTTTCAAGTAGTTTTCAAGAAGTAAGTAGAGGTAGGAAGTAAGGTTCCTGCTAGATGAGAGATGGTCCACAGTCTAAAAGGGACAGATAGGCCCCGGGATGACCTGCAGGGGGTCTATCTGGAGTGCCCTTGACCTAGCTTGGTCACTATCAGCCAGAGTCAAGGAGAACCACACCAGACTGCCTTCCCTCATTCAGGGTTACCTGAAACTGACTCCATGTGAAAAGTTGCAAACCACAACTCTCCAACATCAGCCTGAGAATGGTGGGAGAAGGGTATTGCTTTGCAGAGAATGCTACTACAAGACTTTTTTTTCAGGAAATAATCAACCTTTCTATAAAAGCACAGTACCTTCCTGAAGGCTTCTCTTTCACATACATTAGTTCATTTATGTTTCAAAATATCCAAAGGAGAGGAATCCATTCCTCATCAACATATAGCAAGTGTTACCTTGAATTGTACCTGAATGTCCTGTGTCTTCACCTGGGAGGCTAACCCCTGGGGACACAAGACATGTGCTGTGTCTCCAGCCCCTGACTATGCCAAGCGTATGAAATGAAGGAAGGTGAGCCTGAGGCAACTCCCTCTGGGGTCCCAAACTCTCCTAGAAGAAGTCCAGGCTTCACAATTCCTAGCACTGCCCAGCTGAGTTAACAAGCATTCACCATAGTGGCTTTCCATAGGCCTCCAAACAGAGCGCACAGGTCCTACCAGGGGTCTTGGCATAGACCTTGCCTGAGATGGCCCCAACATCCTCCTTCACGGGAAAGGGAGTGGTACCCTGGGGACCCCCTTCCAAGCTCAGCGGGGGGGTTGACACACCAGAGTCACATGAGTGCTGACCCCAAGGAAGAGTCCCCGGGGTCAGGGGGGGATCCATGCTCCAAACATGTGAGACCAAAAGAAAAGGTCAGACCGATATTCAATGACCTTCAATGTGCACTGAGAAGCTAGTACTGGGGGAGACCCCAACACAATGAGACTAGGTATGGGGCATGGTGACTGATATCATAGACCCTCTCATCCTGCTTTGTGCTAGAGCTCCTTCCACAGGACTCCCTCTCTCCCCAACCAGCTTGTGGGATAATCCTAGAGAGCAGAGCCTGTGACTCATTGTCACCTGGAGCCCTGCTTTCCTAAAAGAACTCCACATAGGTCTAAGGAAACACACACCATTTTGTGTTAGCTTCAGAAGCATCACAGCTTCCCAATCTTTCCTGCTCGTGTGTGTTTAGACCTAGTTTTCACCCAACAGAAACATGTGCCTTCACTCTGGGTGGACAAGACAGTGGGAGGCAGGCATTCTCACACACTGCTACAGGCATCTGATCCTATAACCCCTATGGAGGGCCGCTTGACAATCTCTCAAATTACAAATGCACACTCCTGTTAACCCAGCCACCCCGCCCCCCTGGAACGTATACTTCATTTATACTTCTGCAAATGTGAAATGAAATGCAAGGTTACTCATTGAAGCACAGTGTGTCATAACAAAATAAACAACCTAAATGGTCATCAACAGACTTGGGGTTAAATAAACTATGATACATCCGTACAACAAAGTGCTAGAATGTTGTAAAAACAAGGAGGAAGTTTCTTACGTACTGATAGAGAAAAAAATTCCAAGATATATTGCTAAATGGAAAGAAAGCAAGGTGGAAGACTGCATTTAGTTTAAAGTAAGTACCAATTTTAATATATACGTAAAAGACACAAGGTAGCTCTGGTTGCCTCTGGGAGGGATCACAGGGTGGGTGTGGCTGGGAACGAGAGTCAAGGGCAGGAGTCACTGCATGTGCTTTTGAAACTGTTGGCTTACGAAAAAAAAAAAGACATTACATTTAAGAAAGTGACTGTATTAATAATGCAATATATGTTAAGAAAAAAAAAGAAGAAGAAGAAGAAGATAGCAGGAGGGGAAGAATGAAGGGGAGTAAGTCGGAGGGGGAGACGAACCATTAGAGACGATGGACTCTGAAAAACAGACTGAGGGTTCTAGAGGGGAGGGGGGTGGGGGGATGGGTTAGCCTGGTGATGGGTGTTGAGGGGGGCACGTTCTGCGTGGAGCACTGGGTGTTATGCACAAACAATGAATCATGGAACACTACATCAAAAACTAATGATGTAATGTATGGTGATTAACATAACAATAAAAAATTATTTAAAAAAGAAAGTGACTGTATTAAAATAAACACTTAAATGTCTTGCCCAGGATATCTGAGCTGGCCTTCCAGCTCAGCAAAGGCAGCATCTCTGGCTAAATGGTTTTTCAGTCTCCATAATGGGCCTGGGAAAAAGTCTGGCCCCAGGCACAGGTGCACAATCCTGGACTCCCACCCCTGCTGCTGCCTCTGGATCTCACCTACTGCAGCATCTGAAGGGTCTGCTGAAGTCCAGGAACCAGACTTGTCCAAAGAAAGACACACACAACCCTGCTCACCACAAATATTTCTATCCCAAGAACTGCCAGCCAACCTTGACCACCTAAGCCTCTCATTGCTGAGGACACATGGAGCTGAATAAGAAGGGTGAACACATACCTCTACCTTCCAGGGTTGGTCTGGATTAGCCTGGCTCTCCTGGTCACCACCACCCCCAAACGCTATCAATTCCCACTCTCTCCAGACCCACGACACTGTGTGTATACCCGCTCACCGAGCGCTCACTACCTGAGTGGCTGCTCATCATGTGGACAGCCTTGGCCTTGGCCAGCTCCAGGGCGGTGATCCACTGCTGCCGCTCCACCTCCGAGCTGGCCTTGAGGTGGTAGGTCCTTGCCCCACTGGTTAGCACGATACCGCAAGAGTCCTCCGTGTCAAAGTGCGCGGTGGACAGGTTGATGGTGCCACGGCAGGTGTGGGCCATTTCACCCTGATTTCTGTAGGATGCAAGAGAAGGTATGGGGTGAGGCTCCCAAACTCAATAGCTCTAGACTGAAGAAAGCCTCAAGGCAAATCCTCAGAATCTCAGACCCTTTGAGCTGGAGAGACCCTGGAGTCGGAGCTAGGAGATAATGCCTGGTGGCATTGACTGGAAGGGGCTTGGCTGAGGGGTGCTCAGTGGGGAGATGGCAGAGGGAGGAGGGCCTGCATTAGTGCCAAATGCAGGGTATGCCTGCGGTGGGCTGAGCCCTAGCAGACACCAGGAAATGGAGAAGGCTGACCGTCTAGGGTCCTGCGAGGCAGCATAGACATCTAACTCCATCCCAGCCTCCTCCCACTAAAGCCTCAGAACCACAGAGTTGGAGCAGGATGGGAATCTGCCACTGAAAATGAGATTAGAGACTTGGAACCTCTGGGGGTGAACTTGGAGGTACCCCCTAGCAGGAGTGATCTGGCAACAGAGATCTGCCCGGCAAGGATGCCACCACACCAAATGAGAAGAAGGTAATGGCTGGCCTAACACAGGGTGACCTCATGACAGGGACTGACCCTTTGTTGGTTATAAGGGTCAGAGAATTCCCCCCAAAGGAAGGGGAAGCAGAGGTGATTGAAGTGTGGGCCATTTCCAGCTGCGACCGAAGTCTGAAAATGGAGATGCAACCATCATGACTGGATCTACTTAACTCACTACTTCACACACTCAAAGGAAATTCAGAACCCTCACAACATGCCAAATTTCCTTCCACAGAGAGGGTTGGAAAAGGAAGAGCCATTGGTCAGCACGTAACACTGCCAGTGGCAGGAGCTTGTTCAGCAATTCTGCTGGCCTTTGATGCTTCTTTTTTTTTCCTTTTTTTTTTTCATCTGCTATTTTCTTGATTCTTCTACCTGTTCTATTTTCTTTTTTTTCCTTTTTTTTTTTAAGATTTATTTATTTATTTATTTGACAGAGAGACACAGCGAGAGAAGGAACACAAGCAGGGGGAGTGGGAGAGGGAGAAGCAGGCTTCCCGCTGAGCAGGGAGCCCGATGCAGGGCTCGATCCCAGGACCCTGGGATCATGACCTGAGCTGAAGGCAGATGCTTAACGACTGAGCCACCCAGGCACCCCTACCAATTCTATTTTCTTAAAGGTTTATGTATTTATTTTTAGAGAGAGAGAGAGCGTGCACACAGGTGAGCAGGGGGTGGGGCAGAGGGAGAGGGAGAAGAGAATCTCAAGCAGACTCCCCGCTGAGCGTGGAGCCCGAGGGGGCTGGCTATGGGGCTCAACTTTGGGCTCCATCTCACAACCTTGAGATCATGACCTGGATCAACATCAAGAGTCAGATGCTTAACCCACTGAGGAGCCCCTCTTCTACCACTTCAAAAGTCAAATGACTTGATACTCGGTAAGACATTCAGCTTTCACATGAACAGTGGCCGCCTTTTCTGATTCCCTCCTGCTTTGGTTACATTTCTTGGAGAAGATGATGTAGTTTATATCTGAGGAAAGGTCCAGCTCATAGGTGCTGACGTCTTCTACTTGAAGGAGACTCCTAATTTACAAAATTACTGGCAAGGTTGGGCATGCCTGTTGGAAGCTTGCCCTTTTAGATTCAAGGGCTTTCAGGCTAGAGACTGTTCCAGTATTAAACAGTCTAGTAATTAACCAAAAATGCCACTGTGGCTCAGCTCAAAAAGGAGAGGAGGGTGACTGTTCTAGACAGAAGGAACAGAAAGGGCAAAGACCATGAGGCCAAGTGGAGTTTACAGCTTTCAGAGAATAGGAAAAACTTACGTGTGGCTGGAGCATTGAGAAAAACAGAGTGAATGAGAAAAAAGATGAAGCTAGAAAATTGTGTAGGGACCAAATGTACTGCCTTGCAGGTGATGGTAAGGATTTAGACTTTTGTCTCAAAACAAAAACAATGGGCTTGCTGGGCCTCATGTCAAGAAAGGAGCAGGGGTGGCCAAGAGTTACAGAAATTCCTTTGGAAAATGGGGAATAGAAGTACCTGGAGTGAGACGGTATATGGAAGCCTGGCCACTGTGTGGTACAAGGGCTGGGCTGGAAGTTATCTAGTAGCTATTGTTTTGGATTACAACCTATTGACTAAAATAAATACCCCTGAGTCCATGCTGATGTAAGTAAATAGTTGAAGGGGTAAATGAATGCGGCAGAAGGGACAGATCTTCCTTAATAAAAGTAGATGTGATCATAGAAATAGAAAATCACTGAATGCAATGTGGGATTCTGGACTGGATTATAAAATTTAAAAAAAAAGACATTAGAGAAAAACTTGTAAAATATGAAAAAAGTCAGAGGTTTAGTTAATAGTATCATACAACGTTAATTTTCCACTTTTGACAATTTTACTTTGCTGAGATAAGATGTTAACATTAGGGGAAGCTAGATGAAGGGTATGTGAGAACTCTCTGAACTTGCAACTTTTCTGTAAGTCTCGGTTTATTTTCTTTTTGTTCTTTTTCTTCTTGTTAGTAGTAGATCACCACTTTATTATAAAAGTACACAACTCAGGAACAGCCAGATGGAAGAGATACATAGAATAAGGTATGGGGAAATGGTATGGGGCTTCCACGTTCTCTGAGTGTGCCACTGTCCCCAAATCTCCACATGTTCACCAACCTGGAAATTCTCCAAACTGTGGTCTAAGTTACTTCAAAATTAAAAATAATTCCTATTAATGCTGCCATCACACTCTACCCAGGACCATTGCTGATATGAAATCTTGTATCCAGAACCAAGAATTCACTTGCCCTCAGGCTCAGTGACAGGGTTGGAGATATTCCCAATGTCACTGAAGGAGAGAAGCCCTAAGTCCCCCTCATAACATCTGGTTCTGGACTAGGCTTTACAAAGAGTGAGGCGAAGGCACTTTAAAAATCACTAGAAAAAGAAGAGTAGAGTGGTGGGTAAGGCTCAGGGAGGGAGGGAGAATCTCCCAGTCAAGACAAACTGAAAACCAAAATTCAAAACCCATGAAGGAAATCAATGCTAACAAAGAAAACAACAAAGTCAAATGCTCAGCAGATGAATCACTTCAGACAAAAATGGATCTATCAGAACAATATTTTTAAATGAACATAAATAGGCTTAGTATTCTTAAAGATGAAGGAATAGCATCAATAAAGAGCAATAATTTGTGAAATAGAAGCTGGTAAAAACAAAACAAGAACACGTAGACATGAAAAAGTAACAAGAGAATTTCAGCAAATGAAAATGTAGCAGATAAACTTTACCAGTCACCCAGCAAATTTAACCATCTAAATTTAACCTTAACTCTTTGTAACTAGAGTTACTTTTCATTAAAAGACTTGAGATTCATTTTTCAGTTTTACTTTTCTGCATTATTGGAAGAAATTATATAGAGACACATGTGAATTTAGGAATTAAAGGCCCACTAAAATCATCAAGGTCCAATACATTTGCTTGTCTTGGAATTTAACTCTGTTCTTTTTTCTTTCACTTAGATGTTTTGTGGTCAATCCATTCTCCACCAGTAGCCAAAGTGATATTTTTTGTCCTGTTACTCAGTTTTTTAAAAATGTCAATGCCTTCAAAGTAAGTCCCAAAAGGGTCTAAAATTCAGGGCGGGACATTTCCTAAAATTCAGGTTGTTTTCTGGGAGTGGTACACCTACCCATGTTGTATATAAAAGTTTTTGTTTCTCCCATTGTGAGTTCTGGCTGAGGCAACTCTTTCTATGAGAGCTAACCTTCCAGGGCCATCCACCAGCCCAGATGGTGGAAAAGTTAAAGCCCCAATCCCACTCATAGCACACTGTGGACTTGGGTCTGCAAGCTGCAGTGGCAACTCCTGTCCTACCTGACCTGGGAGGGGAGCTTTGGAGGTGTGCAACAACCTCGAACCATCTATTCTCATCAAGCCCTGGGTGTCCTCAGTGCCTCAAGACAAACCAGGCCATGTCCTAGGGCCTGCCAGTTATGTCAGAGCTCATATCCAGCACACGTGATCATTTATCTTCTGCCAGTTTTTAAAAGAAACACGTTCTGTGGCATTACTTTACATTTGGTGGATATTTTAAGTATTTAGAACAAGTAGAGACAAAATATGGAACACCTGCCATAAACATAACTGTAAGAGAGGTTAACCATAACTAACATTGTTCTAAGTGAGTCACACTGACTCTCAACCAAATAATATTCATCCAGTTCTGATGGCCAATGTCCTTGTCAGAGATGAGAATATGACACCAGCTATCAGAACTTGGAAGCCTGTAATAGTTAATGTAGCACTTTGGCTAGTGACTAACCCAACCCACCTGTATGGAGTAACAAACCTTATGCACCAGCTCAGAGTCCCCTCACCACCTCTTCTCTTACCTCTCTTGGTACACCATTTGGCTTGAGTCACCCCTCCATTTCTGGGCTTGGAAGGGATGCTAGTCTCAGAGTATGGGATCTGGCTTCCTGATTGGCCATCAAGAGACTGGATTTTTGCAACCCACTAATGTGAAAAGGTTAGCACCTCACAGGCTGAACAATGGCCAGTGGGAAGTGGGAAAAAGATGGGGTGGCAAATTCTCCTCATTTTCCCCCTCAGGGGACCTTTCCAAAGTATGTTTTATCCTCGCAAACCTTCTGGAGAAGTCCATAAGCCCAGAGAACATGAGTAGTCTCTGTAACACTTGCAGTTTGCTGTGAAGTGGTGGCCAGCCCATTAAAATCTCACATCACTTTGCATCTTTCCCTGGCCTTTACCTTGTTGCCTCCACATCACCAAGGATCATCTTGCTGAGTGTCCAACCTGCCATGGTAGCAGGAGGGACCAACAGTAAACCTCCATGGCATGACCCACTCCTTGGAAAGAACAAGACAGCCATCAACTAGTTTAGACCACTTTTATCTTGGGAGAGTGGGAATTGAGCGATTTTTCCTTACTGGAATCAATGTGTTTTCTGGTAATGGGGTTGCCTTCAGCAGCACGATGGTCCACAGTTATTGAATCCTCATTTGCTGGCCTGGATTCTCA